TCCGAGCCCTTATCTGCAATAGCCAGGCCTTAATGGGTGCTCACACATAAACAACCCACTGACCCTGCCAAATTACATTGCTTTAACCAATTCCACTTTAACACTTAAACAGTACACTTTTGCTTAATCAAAATTTGCACAATAATCGAAATGAATCAGTTTGCTTTTCCTTTAAGGCTCCCGGTCTTTAACAAGTTTAGTGGAGAGTCTGATAACAAAGGGTGAAAATATAATTGTTTGGGGACCAGAGCCCAAAAGACAACTGTCCCAAGGATTCCTATGAATACACACAGTGATGAGTGAGGCTTGATTTAAAAGCACTGAGGCTTAGCATTATATTCTCTAGCTCCAGGTCCTTGTAAATGGCAAGATTTCATTCTATTGATGCAAAAGAAGCCAGCCCGGGAAAGACAAATACCAAATGATTTCACTCATATGTGGAATTTACAAAACAAATAAGCAAAGGGAAAAAAGTCAGAGAGAGAAAGAAAGAGAATCAAGAAACAGACGCTTAATTATAGAGAACAAACTGATGGTTACCAGAGGGGATGTGGGGGGGGATGGACTGGTGAAATAGGTGATGGGGACACAGGAGGGCATTTGTCATGATGAGCTCTGTGTGATGTATGGGAGTGCTCAATCACTACACTGTACACCTGAAATGAATATAACACTGTATGTTAACTAATTGGAATTAAAATAAAAACTTTTTAAAAAATTGAAAAAATAAAAGCACATGAGGCTGTGAATTTGATCAGTCATGCCTGGAGAGAACATATTTAAAATACTTTAGTCAACATCATCCTCTCTTCCTTCCTTTTGAAAACCCCACACCATTTTACATGGGCCTTTTTTTACTGCATTCTAGCTCATATCGAATACACTACATTCTAACTTATGTTGAATTATTTAGGTATATGGACCATCTCCCTTCAAAACTGTGAAGGCACCTGAGGTCAGAATCTGCATGGGATTCACCTCTTCTTCACCTACAGTATAAAAAGGGCATAAAAACAACGTAACAAACACTCATCAGTAGTTGAGTAAGCTAAAAAAAAAAATGTTAACAAGTCTCTCAATGTACAAAAGTCCCTGGGACAATTCCCGAAAGGTAAAAATGATTTTGAGGTACTAAATTAAAAACATTTTAAATGTTATATTTTTTAAATGCGAAATATTATACAATGCATAATTTTTCTAAATCTTATATTAAATGCTACAGGGATTTAAAAGAGAGAACATAATCAGGAAACCGAGCCAGGATAGAGATTCGTAGTCCGAGTGATGATAAACTGCCTCCCTTCCCCAAACATAAACACACACACAAAGTAAGCTGAAGAACACCGATTTAAAAAAAAATATATTTCTACTCAAATATGAAAACATGGGAAATCCAAAGCTTTTATTAAAAAAATTAAAGAGCTTGTTTGTGAGTTTTGTGTGTTGACATGGTTGCAGTACCAGCCATATTCTTTAAAACCATGCTCCTCTTTTTTTATTATTTATTTATTTTTGCCTTTTCAAGGTTTTTTTGTATTAAAAAGAAAAGCATAATTACCCCAAATTACAAAAGACTAATACAAGCTCATTCAAGTATTTTACATTTTTTTTGTCCTTTTAAATGTCTTCTTTTTAAGTTTTTATTTATTTGAGAGAGAGAGAAAGAGCACAAACGGGGGCAGGGGGTGGGGGGGGTTAGCAGCAGAGGGAGAAGGAGAAACAGACTCCCTGCTAAGCATGGAGCTTGAGGCCCGGGCTCAATTCCAGGACCCTGGGACCGTGACCTGAGCCACCCAGGCGCCCCTAGAACCAAACTCTTTACCAAGGGGGCTACGCAGTATAGAAATCTCAGCCAACTTCTTCCCACTCTACGTAGAGTAAGAAACTCAAGAGAATTCAAGGTAATAAAAAGCCTCTCTATTCCTTCAAGAGTTTCTATACTATAGCTACCAGCAGCTACACTGAAATCAACAAGTACACAGACATTTTGTGGGTGGGGGGAGAGGGCTCCCCTTTGCCTGTATTATTTAAAGAACCATGAAATAAAAGATGACTCAAGATATACCATAAATAGTAAAAGAAGAACACTGCCATGAATGCAGTGCCAAATTACTGAGGTTTGAAATGTGTACGTGTTATGGATTAAATTATATCCTCAAAGAAAGATATATTGAAGTTCCATCTCTAATACCTCAGAATATGACATAGGTTCTTTGGAAATACGGCCTTTAACAGAGGTAACTGCGTTAAAATGAAGTCATGCAGGTGGGCCCTGATCCAATATGACTCGTGTCCTTCTGAAAAGGGGACATTTGGATACAGACACACACGGGGAGAACACCATGTGAATAGGAAGGCGGAGACTGAAGTGCCGTGTCTAGAGGCCAGAAGTGCCGAAGATTGCCAGCTCACCACAGAGGCTAGGAGAGAAGCAGGGAACAGATTCTCTCCCCTACAGAACCAACCGTCAGAAGGACCCAACTCTGCCAACACCTTCTTAGACTTCCAGCTTCCAGAACTGCGAGAAGATAAATTTCTGTTGTTAAGCCACCCAGTCTGTGGTACTTGGTTTTGGCAGCCCCAGCAAACTAATACAGTAAGGTTCGTGGCAAAATCCCAACTTGACCCATGTGATTCAAGGTGTATTTGTAAAATGCTCACAAACTAGAAATTAGTGAGATCTCTACAAATACCAGGCAACTTTACCACAATATAATGATAGCTGTTCTTGGAGAAGAAGATGCTAAAGATAATGTTTAAAGATGGGAGGCAGGGATGCTGACATATATGGGAGAGTGGTGAGGAGTCCTGGGATGGGGGGCACAACATTTTGCTGGCTATTTAAATTACAGTACTTCAGGGGACACATCAAACAAACTCAGCTCTCAAACCTTGCTAGATGGCATGTAACTGTTGTGCTCTGGCCTGACCTTGCCACCCTAAAGCAAGCAAGCACAGGCAACCTGTCCTCTCTTAAAGCAGGTGAGTGGTCAATGGCTTTCATCTCCAGCTGGAGGAAATTAAATGCTACATGTGACCAGCAGGCTTGAAACTGATTGAGAAATGCTGACAAGATACATTTAGGCCTGCTGGAGTGAAGAGTATTAACTGTCCAGAACCGCCCTTCTCAAAGATTGCAGATACTTAAAAGGCAGCCTTTCCTTTTATTCGAGCATAATAAATGGAGGATTTTTCAACTATCTCCAAGACTGTGACATAAATCACAAAGTTAAACATTTAACAGAGTTATTAACTTACATTTGGAAATCAGCTGAGCCCATCTTTTTTGGGAAGGCACTTCAAAGTAACTGGTGTGTTTCCTTATAATGAAATAATATGTTTGCTTCTGTTTGATTCATGATTACAACAAGCCAGAGCATATGTGAGAACCATCTGGAATATTCAACAAGGACCAAGGCTTTCCAAGGAAGGCCTTATACTGTGCAAGCAGTATCGTATAATGGTTAGGAAAAGAATGGCTGCAAACCAGAGACATGACCCCAAAACAAGCTTTGCCACTAACCAGCTGTGTGGACTTGGACAAGTGGTGAAAACTCTCCAAGCACCAGGACTCCTAGTCAAATGGAGGTGGTAATTATAGGAACTATCTTTGTAGGGCATCATGAGAAATGATGAGACAATGGATATACCATACATTATGCAAAACAATTGCTTAATGCAGTGTAGTGACCCCCACGTTATAAACATTAAACGTACAATTAATTTTTATATACTAGAGAAATAACTATTTTTCTTTAGGAAAGAATACAAAGTTTCACACACAACCTCAATTAAAAATTGCTCAACAATATTCTGTAACTCTCAGGCACTCTAGATAAGTCATTAACAGCCCTCTAGATTTGACTTGGTTTTTTTATTCCCATCATGTTTCTTTTTCATACAAATTTTTTAAAAGATTTTTTTTTGGTAAATATTTAAAATCTCAAAATTAGTACTATTATTTGTTACTTTTATTATTCCTGCAACCTTACCTACATATCTTCCTTTGTCAGAAATATCTCTTCATCTTCTTAAAAAACATAAGCAAAGGTATAAAACTACATTCCAGAAAAGCCAAAGATTACCTAAATGGCCAAAATTTCCAATTATGGGTTTAGAAAGTTCCTTCAGAGAATTTTCCACTACATGTTTTAATGTAATTAGTTAGGTTAGAATTTCCTATCTTCCATAATGACTTAAAAGAGAGACAAAAACAGTGGATGGTTCAGAAAATTATTTTTCAACATTATTTGGTAATGTTATTAAGGTAAATTTCCTACAGTTATTTGAGATATAGCATTACATTTCTACATGCAACTGAATATAGTAACTCTGCACTCTTAATCAGTAAGAGAGGGAGGAGGCCTATCAGAAACATATGGGGTAAGCTTTTCAAGAATCCAAACTTGTGCCTGACCCCAGGATAGCATTGGGCAGGGGGGTGCGGGGGCGGGGTGGAGAATAACAACAGGAGGGAAGGTTGTTTCTCCATGTGAAAATATATGTAGTATGGTGTCAAAGTACACAGGTAGGAAAAAAGAAAAATTCTGCATTTTTTTTTTAATTTAGTGATTTCTTCAGATGGAGTAAAAGCTCAATTTAAAAAGATGCAAGAATGGCCAATATATTTGACTTTATCAAATCAGTACTCTTATTCTTAAGCGAACACTAAACCTCCAGAAGAAATTAATCATATCATTCACCTGGAAACGAATTCTCATTTGAGGGTTCCAGCCCCAATGTTGGGGGTGGGGGGGACAGGGGTAGGACAGAAAAGATAAATTGGGCAAGTCTGCAAAATTGTCTGCTAGCAGGGAAAACCAATTCTGCTGAATTTCACACTTCTTAAAACAACAACAACAACAAAAACTGAAAGGGAAAATCTACTATATATTAAAGAAGAATTATTTAAATAAATTAATATCATTAATTGTTAATAATCAGTATTAAGAGAGCAGGTACATTTTAAACGTGAAATATTAAAAACCGAATGAACTTACTTGCTCTTCCCTTTGTATACTGTAGCATAAGATCCTTCCCCTAGTTTTTCCAATTTTTCGTATGAGTCAGCTTTTCCAAATTTGGGACTTGTCGGCTAAAAATGGAGCAGAGGGTAAACAAAACAGATTGTATCAAACTAATTACAATGAATAGGCCAATTTTGCTAAAAATATATAAATTCTGTCACTTTTTTAAATACCCTTTTTCTGATATAAGAATATTTATTCTAAAAAACAACATAATAACTATTCAGGATACAAAACTCAGAAAATGCAAATAAACACAGTGTAGAAAGTTTAAATTTACCCATAATCTGTCTACCAAGAAAGAACCACCATTAATATTTTGGTATCTCTTCTTCCAGTGCTATCTACATGCTGATGACTGCTTTTCTACATAAATGGGATTACACTAAACATACTGATTTTAACCCACTTTTTTCCCCCCACTCAACATATTATGAATGTTTTCCATGTTATTATATAACCTTCTAAATTAGGGGCTGGCTAGTCCAAACTAACACCTGTTCATCCCACAAACTTAGAAAAGTTTCTACTTTTTTTTTTTTTTTAATAGGGTGGGTGGTCAAAAGAAGAATAGAATTTAATAGCACAATAAGATTATACATGAAAATCAAATTTTAGTGTCCACAAAGTTTATTAGGGAACAGTCATGCATGTTCACTTTTGAAAAATTGCTCAACAATATTCTATAACTCTCAGGCACTCTAGATAAGTCATTAACAGCCCTCTATGACTTGAAAGCTACAACAGAGCTATACCTGCAGCAGAGGTGATATAAACAAAACTGAAAATATTCACCCTCTGACCCCCGTTGTAAATCATGACTGTATAATATTCAGCCGGATAAAGGTACTCCTCCAATACCTCTTAGCAATAATGCAAACAAATAATCAAAGATGTATCACTCAGATATTACTCATTAACACAAAAGGAACTGTCTTATGTATTATAAACTGACCCTTAAGTTTAGCTGCAGCAAAATAACTCTTCCGAAAGACATGGTACATCCCATCAAGATGATAAAAGTGCTGAAAGTGAGTAATCTCATCACTCTTGCTGTCCCCAGCTCCCGCCTGAACTTTCACCAGGCAAGACATGGGGAGTGCTATCCTCCATGGGGCAAGTTACCTATTATTATTATTTTTTTATTTTATTCATTTGAGACACAGAGATATATATAGAGAGAGAAAGCATGAGCAGGGGGAGAGGCAGAGGGAGAAGGAGAAGCAAGCTCCTCACTGAGCGAGGAACCCGATGTAGGGCTCGATCCCAGGACCCTGGGATCATGACCTGAGCTGAAGGCAGACGCTTAACCATCTGAGCCACCCAGGCACCGCCAAGTTACCTATTATTTTAATGTCACTATAAGAGGGTACTATCAAAGCATATCAGAAAATGATAATTATATGAGGAATTAAAAGCATCTTAATGGAATTAACCAATCTCAGTTATAAATACATAAATAACTGATAAAAAGTTACTGGTGATTGTGTTACTGCATAATTAATGAATTTCAGAAGCTCAGGAAAAGACCTTCTTGCAGAAAATTTATAGAACACTATCCTTGAGAATGTGCTCTTGCACCACTTAGGAAAAACATAACATACTGGCAATGGATCTGACTCCCACCATCTATAAAGATCCTGTGTGGCAAGTTGAACACATGCTTCTTATCTCCTTCCCACCCAAAATGCCACACAGTGACTGAGAAGATATTTTTCAAAAATAATAAATCAGAAACAGGAATGGGAAACAAGAAAGAGTGCCAATATTTAATCAGAAATTTTGAGAAATTCTGAAAGAGAGACAGTAATCAGAATCAAAACTTCAGAGAAAAGACTGGGGCAACCTAAAGCCCCAACCTGGAGAAGAAGACCATTACAAAGAAAAGAAGCAGGAGCCTCCAGGAAAATGTGAAACTAATCAACACAGCTGAGCACAGGGTGTCCTCCCAAGCAAACTGCAGGGACATCTGCACAGAGGAGACAGCTGAGACTTGTGGGTATTCGGGCGAGAGGGGCAGAGCAAGGACAGAAGCTGCCACGGCCTAGAAAAAGGATGACAATCCCCCTCCCCCCCCCAAGCTGTAATCCTTGGCTCTCTCATAAGATCACTACAGATGATTTACAGAAAACTGAATAAGCTGACAGCAATTCTCAAATTCAAAAATGAGTATATAATCAAAAATCACAAATCATTTCAGGAAAATCAATACCTGGGAAAAAAGGCATTATATTTAATGGGCAGATAAACCAAAATGCTGGTAAGAGAGTTGACACTGCCAAGAATAACTCTGAATAAAAATAACCAGTATGTTCAGAGAGATTTCAGTAGATACTACAACCTTTAAGAAGAAACAATTAGAGATTTAGAGATTAAATATTTAATCAATGAAATAAAATATTCAATGGGCAGTGAATAAAAGAATAGACACATATGAAAAGTAATAAGCTCAATGTTTGAACAGAATTCCCCTAGAAAACTTTAGGGAGAGGTTGCACCTAAATAGAAAAAATATCCAATCAGCATAATATCCTCATAGACAACAGTGACTGCAAAAAGACAATTTAGCAACATTTTCAAAATAAATAGAGAAAATGATTCTGAATCACTAATACTATACCCCAAATAGTCCTGTCAGTAGGATGGAAAAGATGTAATGTTGCCACCTACAGAAAAAAATCTAGATACAGAATTCTGTATTATCTTGATATAAGACATACTTGGAGTGATGGGGGAAGCACAGAAAGGCAAGGAACACTAGGAAAAAAGAAGCAACGGCAGGCTGAGATTTCTTCAATTGATCAGGACAGACCGCAGAAACTGAGCAACTCCAAACGCATATGTTTTAGCATGTTTCTTAACTCTTCAAAGGTCATCACAAAATAATATGAACTGGATACACAGATCCCAAACAAATTAGAGAGAAAAGAATAGAAGAACACAATGTAATGAGGAGAGGGATGAAAATAAAAAGTGAAAGGTCAGAGGAGGGGGGGTGCTCAAGAAGAAAACACGTCAAGTAAAAGTTCATAAAATAAGAACTTAAGTTTAAACATATCGATCGTGTAAAACACATCAATCGTATTGACTGTAATAAAAATAAATGAACAAACTTCCTTTATTAATAGAAACTTCTCAGATTGAAAAAAAACAAAGAAAGTCTAGCAATATGCTATTCCTAAGAGACAAAATTAAAACGAGTAAATCTGAAAATAAAGGAGTAAAGGGAAAATACAGCAAAAAAAAGGAATTTTACAAAATAATGCATTATCGCAATATTGATGGCAAACAAGATAGAATTCATAAAACAAAAAATAGATTAAATTATTATATCCCATAAAAATGAACATTAATATCCACAAAGAAATGTAATAATCATGAACTAGTATGAGTCAATTAACATAGCTTTGAAATGTATGGAACTGCTGGTAGCAATAAAATTAGAAATTGTCAAATTCACGATGATAATGGGCAACAAACATACATCACTCAGACATCAAAAAAGCAAGCAGACAAGGAAGAAGTAAGGGATTTATGAACTTGAATATGAGAATTACCATTTTAATCTAATACACATGTTAATATATATTCTTTTCAAGCCCACATTTAACATTCACAAAAAAAAATGACCACTTTCAATATTCAAAACTGCAGAAACACCTTAAGTTACTTTTTCTGAACATAATGCAATAAAATTAGCAATTAAGAACAAAAGGAAACCTTAAATAGTTTAGCCGTGTGAGTGAGAAAGAAAATCAAAATTGAAAATTCATAAATAAATATGTGGCATTGAGGACATGACATTTTAAGACCCAGGGGACACAGCCAAATCAATACATAACAAGAAAATGTAAATACATATGCACATACTAGAAAAGAAGAAAGGTCGAAAGTAATATGAATTAGACATACTAAGAAGGGATTAATAAAAACAATGGACCACGTATTCTTTTCTTCAAGAAACTTGTAAGGTACAAACCATGTGTTGAGTTGAATCAAGTAAAACTTAATGGAAAATTACATTCAAAATCGCCTGACTAGTCCTGTGTGGGTTATGTTCTCATGCATTTTTCATCCCTGGGAAACAGCTTGTGAATGTCACACTTTACCATCACCCTCCTGAGCCCAAGTTTTAAATAGAAATTTTAAAACCTATATTAAACTTCAGTATAAAATGATCTTCAATGGGGAAAATATTGTGTTCACAGTTCCACTCTAAATTATTTAAAATTAGAATGAGAAGTCTGTGTTTGCTTTTGTGCTCCTTTAAGAATAAATCTAATCTATGTTCAAGAAAAAAAGCAGCAGCAGAAAATTACCCCTTTACTCCTATTAGGAGATAAACTGCTAATGCGTATTTATAGCAAGTATAAGACATAGTCACACAAAACTGGCAGGAGAAGAGGAAGCCAATATTTTCTCCTCCTGTAAAGGCACAAATAATTTTCTAAAATATTTCACTCTTTATCAACTGCCTTATATATCAGAGTTGATGTAATTGTTTTAAGATACAGACCACACTAAATGTACTACTTGAAGAAACAGAATTGAAGAAATCAGAAAAACAAGGAGAATATGCTTAAAAAAAAAAAACCTATTTATTCACAAGAAAAATCAAGTAAAAGAAGATGCTAATGGCACAAAGTACTCTATCTAATTAAATGGATTTGGATGCACTAACTACCATGGTTCATATACACCCTATTAATACTGTGATGGCAGAAAACTAATATTTTGCCACATTTGATGCTAAGACAATCAATGTTATTTTTCCTGTGAAACTGACATGTATACATTGTAGAAATACACTGTAATCTACAGATAAATCATGCTAGCTTCATAGCTCCATACACACATAATGTCTCTCTAAAAATTTTTATCTAAAAAAGAATGGGCCTATGGAATAGGGCATGTCTTAAGATAGTCTGAGCTTTAGGAGTCAGATTCTTATAAAGTCAGTCCCCCTATTTGAAGTAACCAGAAATGTTCTGATCTGTAATTACTATGCATATAAATAAGGAATCCAACTGCTAAGTCATTAAAGAGGCCAATAATAAAATCCTTCCCA